AAGAAAAGAATAAAATTGATTTCAACTTGCACATTCTAGAATTGTAAAATCTCAAATTTATTCGCAAATATAAGATTGATTTTGTTGTTACTTGTTGGAAAAGTATAAAATTGTTTGAATGAATTGTGATTATATATAGACTAAAATTTTTCTTGTTAAAAATAACATTTATCTCTTTTTAGAAAAAAAAAGAAAAGATGTGATGTGATGTCTCTACTTAATCATTAGAAGTCTATCAAGTGTGACAAGAGTGTTTATCTTATTCGTATAACGTTCGATTGAATGAAAACAAAAGAATAAAAGCAAAAAACAACAATTATGTCGATAATTACAAATGTTTTGTATTCTGAATTACAATAAAAAATAATAATATTTATTATTTAAAGGTATTGATAATATTTTCTTTCTAAAAGAGTTCGAATAATAAATGAAAATCCAATGAAGTTAAAGTTTGAGTGAAAAATAATTTTTCTTTAACTTAACATTTATAATGAAATTTATTAACTTTTATAAGCAATTTAATATGTGAACTTTTTATCAGATAAATAAATGAAAATTTTGATTATATTTCACAATCTCATATGATTAAAAATGATATAAATTATAATATTGTACTCAAGAAAATTCAATATTTGAAATAGATTATATAAAATTTTATTAAATTAAATGAAACAATATGGTTATATTAAAATATATCATAATACTTCTTGTTGAATTATATTGATTGTTACTTGAAAATGAGGTTGTTGTTGAAGCCAATATTCATCATGATTAAATGTTTCTTGAAAATTATAAAAATTTTTATCTGAATAATCAATAATATAATCGAAATGAAGTCTTAAAAAAGTTAAATAAGGCAATTTATTATCGATTAATGTTTGCCATGATATTGGTTCAAACATATTCTTCATTTCTCTTTGTATTTTTAATTTAAGAATTAAATGTTTTAAATAAGGACATATTGTTAAAAGTTGTTGAATTTCTTCAAATGTCCATTCATCTTGAAGATTTAATGTAAGATGATTAAGTTTAGAAAGAATAATTATATATCGAAAAATATCTTTATTTGGACCATCAATAAAAGCTTTAAATCGATGAAGATTAGGAGAATAACTCATAAATGTTAACATTTGACTTACTGATATATAATCAAGAATAGCATATTTTAAATTTGAGAAATAATATGAATTTTTTTCTATATTCCAATAACGAATATGATATGGTAAATGTAAATAACGAAGACAATTACCATTTATAGAATTCATAATAATTGACCAAATTTGTTTATAAGCATCAATTGGATAATAATGCCAAGTAAAATATTCAACAGTAATTGATTCAAGTTGTTTCATGGGTAATTTTTCAATAAATGAATGCAATGTAATAAGATCCATTTTTTTAAATGTAACAACTCGAAGAGATGTGAGATTTAAATAAGAATATTTCATTTGAAATGAAGGTAAATTTAAACCAGTTAATACAATTGATCGACATTTTAATGGAAATTGTTGAGCATTAAGACAATTCATTATTTTCGATAGATCAATATGTATTGGATAATCTCGAATGGCATCATTGAGACACTTTTTTAGACCGAAAAATGTTTGAAAAATTTCAGTATATGTAAGATAGGTAAATATATTTAGTAATAAATCAGTACTTAGGTCATCAAAACAGGTCATTACCTTTGAATGACTCGAAACGTAGTAGAAGATATGAAACAATAATATGTTTTTTGTCAATAAATACTACGAAGACAATAGTGAAAAACAAAAAAACAACAAGTGAAGAAATAAAAGCAATTATTAACACACTCCACGTGTCTTTATATTCCTATAGATAATCACATATCTTTCAATAAAAGACAATATTTATATTAAATTCTAATTCTTTCTATAAATTCATCATATAATTATCTTTGTATAATCTTATTGACGATATGAACAATTAACTTTATAGTTCGCTATGTCGAATCAATTAATTTTTTGTTTCAAATAGATACGTTAACTATCTATTTTTCTGTTTGGCAGTTAATATATATATATATATATATTGTATGAAAATAGATCCTGCATGAACTCTTGTCACTTGTGATAATTATTGAACAAGGATCTTTTTATGTGTACTTGACTATTCTGTCATTTATCACGTCCAATATGTTTTATCGCTAAATATTCTTCATAGTCAATTTAAAATAGTTCTGATTTCTTTCTTTATTATATATTGAAGTTTTCTTATACTTGCCATTTTTAAGATAAAATTTTGATTTTTGTAAAGATTGAACCTTTACTGATTGTTCTATATAGAGTAGATTTATTCATATCTGATTAATATAATTTTCAGTATTAGATAAAATGTTCTATTTCAATGTTTCTTCTTTCTTTAATTTCACTGATTTGTCTTCCATTGAGATAATATTCTTCTATGAAAAACAAATATCCGTTTAAATTATCTTCATCAAAAAAGTTAGATCTGAACGGAACGAGATATTTTTGCCTTTTATCGTGATCTCAGAGATTAATATCAATATTAATTTTATGGTCATTTTCCTGTAAAATAGATTTACATAAAAACTTTTAATGCATTGAGATATGAATTATATTGATTTTATTATATTTTCTGTTTGCTTTATCATTTAGTTTTCTAACTCTTAATCCCAACGGAAGATTACGTAATTTAGACGTAAACTACAAATTTCTTAAATTTCAACAAGTTAATCTTCATAGTCAATGTACAACGAACAATATCGAGCGTAATTAAAGCAATATGTCATCATATTTCTGCAATTTTTTCGTCAAATATGTATCAAACAACTCCGGAAGAAGTAGTATTTTGTGTCTTTATTATACAGACGGTGTTGCTAATGGTAGTAAATTCCTTGATTTTGATGATTTTTTCGGTCTACAATGTTCAAATCTTGCTTGTTGTTTTTTTCGACTATTTTTATCAACTGAAGCTGAAGTATGACTTTCATTTCACATATTATATCTAACAACTTTGGAAAATAGGTCCTATGCGTTGTTTACTTTTTTCTGTACTTTGTTTTTCGATATATTTTCTCTTTCTTCATGTAATGATGATATTCTTGGATGAATATACCTCTATATAACAAACTCTGTTTAACTAAAGAGGTCTATCATTTTTTTCACTTTAGAAAATCTATCTTATCTTCTGTTGATCTATTGTCTTGTGTTAATTTGTATTGTTTTGTTTTCATATACAAAACAAAAAAAAATTCTAAAATAAAATGTTTGTTTAAAAGTATATTTTAATCAATAATAACAATCTTTAATAAAAAAAATTAATTTGTTGAATGACTTTAAGTACTTAGAGAAATTTTGATCGTATTTTAGCTTTCATTTTTATTGTATTCCGAAGTAATTAAAGTTACATAATACTTAATATCTTTATCGTTTTTCATTCCAATTCTTCAAGACAAAAAAAATCTGTTTATTATTTAAAGCATCGAACGAGTTTGCATGGTTTACTTGATGTTAATATATATTAGTGATAATGTGTCACAATCAATGGGAAAATGTGACAAAATACAACGATCTTAAAATCAATCATAAATATATCATACGGATTTTTGAATAGACTTTGTTGTGGCGATTATGTTTAAAAGAGTGTATGGAAGATGGATAAATACTAGTTTTAACTATATATTTCAATAGTTCTTTTAGGTTTTATTTCTCAAAATATAAAGTCTATCACATGTTGTCATCGATCAATTCAAATAATGTTATGTATTAGGTTTCTTTTTGTATTCTCTCAAATCTTATCTGTCCTAGAAAATTTTTCGACATTTGGAACTGATCACACCTCTTGTTTTATCAATATTTGGATTTTTTTTAGCTGTAGTTATTATTGAAATTTATTAGAATTAATCTTTTATTTAAACTATTTATAGTTTTAGAGAAATTTTGAAATAAGAAATATTTCATTGTAATAATCGTCTAAACATAAATAGACGAAAAGTAGAGCCTTACATCGGACTCTAATCACAGTGGAGTCGAAGTTATCATGGAAAATTTTCTTCGAAATCAATGCCGAAGTTGTATTAGTAAAGAAATCAAATATTTTCACTCTTATATACTAACAACATTATCCGTCATATGTTAAACAATAAACAGAAACACATTATTTTCTAGTATCATAAAGAAGTTTCTAGATTAAAAAATACGTGGAAGACATTTCCATTAAAAAGTAGCATAAAAAAAGTGTATATGCTAGTAAAAAACAACATTGTTGAAATCTCTTGGAGTCAAACTGTTTGACTCTCCAGGGTTCTAATGACGACTTTCATAGTTATTATGTTTTCTAATTTTATATGAAATAGGATTCAAGTAATTGATAATATCTTATAGAATATATTTAGTTATTGCTTCAGGTAAAATCTAATCGTTTTCGCTTGAAAAAGAAAATTTTTACAAGTTTATACTTATGGATTTGTAAAAATAATTTTAAATGAAGTATGTACATTAATAATCTACTGATAAAATTATTTGACAAAAGAGAATATCATTTAATATATGTTTACAAAAGAAAAACAAAAAAGAAATATTCAACAATATAATAATACAGAATAATCATTACATGAAAAATTCTGGATTGAAAAATGCATATAAAAATGGATTAAGGCATGAATTAAAATATGATAAAGCATGTGCGATAACTCTTATGGTATCAAGTAATGAAGTATGATTATTATAAAATTCGTCTAACATTTGTCGACAATTGAGTAATTCCAATGTATGAATTGGAATCCAACAAATGGCAAATGCACATGTTAAGGAAAATAATGTTCGAGTTATATGACGTCGTTGTAATTGAATACATGCACGACTTATTAAACTACCCTAATTTTTTCAAATTATAAAATACTTTTAGAGAATTTCTAATATTTTATCTTTTCGAAAACTTACTTGATAACGACTAATTTTCTTTGAACTTTTTCGCATATGAAAAAATAATTTTGTATGAGAAAGAGCAATAATTGCGAGTGGTAATACATAATAAGCACAGAATGGAAAAAAACATGAAGCAAATAATGGATGATAAGATGATACTGAACAATCGTTTAAAGGAATTTTTTCTCTATCTGATGATGATGAAGATGATGATGATGATGAAAGAGAAGTATAAGGAAAAACAAAAGCAATCGATACTAAATAAAATTAAAGAAACGATAAAAATCATTTAAAATAATTATTTTTTTTTGTTATCTTACCAGTCCAAATAAGAATACAAATAATACAAGCATTTAATGGTGTTCGCCAACGAGGATGTGGATGAGGACTGGTTACATAAAGATACCGATCGATACTCATTGTAGCTAATGTATAACATGTTGTTTGAAGAAGGACCTTTTGAATTATATTAAATACTTTTATTTGATAATAAAATTGAGCATTTTTCATATTTTTTATTTTACAAAAAAACTTTATCTTCATATTCATATTAATTAATTTCTATATACAAATTCAACCTCACATTAACGTCATTTTCTTTTTTCGGAAATAATTCTAACGTCGAAATATGTTCCTATTTTTCCTACAATTAATCCTTTTACTTTAAAAAAAAATACTTGTCGTGTGCATGAAAAATATCATGAATCCGTTGTAAAAGAGTATTCAAAAGAAAGTCGAATTTCATTTTTTATATTTCCCTGATGATTCAATTTTGCTTATTAATATTCAACATAGATCTGTCAATTTTAATTCTCAACACGATATAAACGAATCTAACAAATAGTTTTAGTATTTTTCATAGTTAATTTTTCAATCTATTCTTTTAATATCAACTAAATTTTGGTTTTCACTTTATAAGAACTCAATTAATATTCTTCGAAATTTCTCATCTAATGTGACATTTTTCAATGTCATACTCTGTAAAATAATAATATTATCATTATAAATTCGATAAATTTATAAGAATAAAATAATATAAAATAGAATTTCTGAAATTATTTTATTTATCATTAATTCAAACTATATAAATAGACAAAACAAAATAATGTTTTTCATTCAAATTTTCAAGTTTATTTTAACCCTTTCACGACGATATTCTTGTTTTTTTCCAAGCAAAATAACAACGTATGGAATATATAAAAGTGAATTAATCTTTATTTTTAATCAAAACTATTGGTGTTTAAAAGTCTCGTAGGGTGCACTTATGTTACTTCTACCAAATTGTAGAATGATACAACTTAGATTACTAGTAAATAGTACGCATCAATACATCTGAATTTCATCGGGATAGAAAATACATACTTTCATCTCTTCTCTTCTCTCAAAAGAATTATAAATAAAGAATAAATAGGGTCAAAAATAGCATTAGGTCAAAATGACATATTGAGATTTTTGACTTACATGAGCAAGATAAAAATGAACTCGACAACTAACTAAACTATTGAGAATCCATTTATTTGTTAAACCCAAATAAGTTGTAAGTGGAACAGAAATCAGTAAAAATAAGAGATCAGTTATAGCTAGATTAATTATGTAACAATTCGTAACACATTTATAATTTTGTTTTCGTAGGGCAACAATAATAACAGTTAAGTTACCTATTTATAAATATATTATCAAATTTCGTAATTCAATTAATGAACTTACCAATAACACCCAAAATACAAATACAAGCAAGACTAACTACCATTATAATTCTTAAAAATGGATTAAAAATATTTTCATTATTATATATTGTTTCATTTGATGCCATTTATTTTATCGAAACAATAAACTAGACAGATATTAGTGAATATATTTAATATGTTATGTGTCTTTCTTCTCACTCGAATATAAAGTGACGAAAGCAAAGATGTGGAAGAAGAAGAAAAAAAACTTGAGAAATAACATGTTGTATCAACAATTTCATTGGTAGAAAAGCTTTTACTTATTATCATCTTTTTAGAATTCCTTGTTGGAATATAATTTTGAGAAAAGAAAAGAAAAGATTTTTAAATTAAAAATTTATATCAGTTCTAAACACAATAGAAACAATAGTATTTTTCGCAATTTTATATTATTATTGTCAATGTTTCTTCGATGTCATGTCAAACAGAAAGGAATTTGTTTTGAGAATTGTTTTGTAAACGCAATAAAACAACATTACTCACATGAGATTCATTACAATAACTTAATATAAATTTTTTTCCATATAATTTTGTGTTTTTATTCAATAAGCAAATCAAAAATTAGAAGAACAAATAAAATTATTTGTAATTTTATTTTTAGCCGATTTTGTTTCACAAATTAGAAATTTGATTATGACGAATTTATTTATTTCTTCATTTAGTAGATTACATGCAAATATAATACATAAGATGTTCTATATTGTATAGAAAAAAAAAAAACTTCTTTCTATTCATCTTGTTTTCTATTATTCTTTATATTCACTCCAGAGAAAACAACTAACAAACTGAAAGACTTAATTTATGTTATTGCAATGTTAACAGAAAAACAAACTTCTATTAATTAATTTAGTTATTTTGATTGGACTAGAAGAAAAAATAAGATGTTTTTTCTTTGTCTTTATAATCACGCAAACAAGTTCTTATAATGAAGGATAATTGATTAGATTTAATGCCTTTATCTTTCAGTTTAGAACGAAGATCAAAAAAGTACAATAATAATAAAAAGTGACATTGAAGAAAAATAAGAAGAATTCTATCTTGAAAGATTTTAAAAAAGAATCACTTATTTATATAGAGGATTTTCTTTTCATAAAATGCAACTAATTAATTTGTATTCTTTTCAATGATATTTTGTTTTCACATACCTAACAGAACTCATCAAGCAACTAAAAAAATTTCTTTCGTATTAGGCATTAGTCCTTTGAGGCATATGTTTTGTTTAGAAAAATAAATATACTTTTGTGTAATTTGTTTATTAACGACAATGGAATATTTCAATTAATAACGATATACTTTACAAGTATACTTGAAAATTTGATTGATTAGGACAAAGAGTACAAAGAAAATTAAAAAAAAAAAACATCATTACCGTTTATTTTCGTTTAAACATAATGTTGGTTATAAATAATGAAACTTGTTCGTATTACATTCAATCTATCTTCATATTTTGTAATTAGTATTTAGAATAATTTTATACTTAACATGATCTGTCATTGACTCTCTATATATGAAGAAGGTTCACAGTTAACATTAAACAAAACATAATTTATAATTGAAACCAGCATGATCGCGTTAATGTGTAACATGGGAGCGTTTCTATTTTTGAACTATGTTGAATATATAAGACATGTGAAAACTTTGAATGACGCACTGAAAAGTTCTGCAAAAGATAATAACAAAATTTATCTTCAAATAAATGTAAATCAGTCAGAAACAAAAATTCTTCAATAATAAATTAACCGATAGAAAATAAATTACTTATTTAATATAGGATCTGTCAAATAAATGTTAAATTTTCATCAAACAAGATTATATGTATTCAAAAACAAACTGTAATCTTTCTAATGAAATTTTCTAATGAAACTTACTTAATAATGTGCTCTGCTCGATTATATGGTTAATTTTTGCAACAAAAAACAACATATTCTGATAGAACTCAACAAATTCTTTCAAATATAAATGTTTTGAGTATACTTTTATTTAAATTACGCATCCATTTTCTATAACATTGCATTGCGGAATTTCACTAGTATCCAAAAACTGAGATGATTTTAGATTATTCAACTTGTTACGTTGTCTTTGTTAATAAATTTATACATATTTCGATATATTTGGAATTCGTATTGCACTTTGAGCAATTGCTTATTTTTACCTTTATACATTTATTTTGATGCAAATATTGATATTTAGAAAAAGAATGAAATTTCATAACGTTTGGTAATGTTATAATTCATTTCTAAGGATAATTTGTACCGTGTCAATAGATAATTATGTTTGACATCTTGGCTCTTATGTTATCTTGTCAAATTGTTCTTCATCCATCGCATATACATATAAATAAAAAATTCAGAAAAGCTTATATAAATATACAGGGTGGTCCAAAAGTCACGCACCCGACAAAAAATTGAATATCTCCATTAGGGCTTGAGCAAACGGGGTGATTTTTTTTACCAGTGATAGAGGCATGTACAAACTTTATATCCATACAGACATGTCTAGGAAGACCCTTTGTTAAGTATCACTATTGACCTCAACAAGAAAAATTTTACTTTTTCACATATAGNCAGGGATGATCTTCTCAATAATGACAATTTTTTCTATAACTCAGCCATTTCTTGACGGATCCTGCTCATCTTCGAACTCGACCGAGACATTGTTAAGACTGAACTGTGTAGAAAATTTCATCGCGATTGGACTCTCCTTTCAAAAGTTATCGTGTTAACGGCCGGACACACTGACCGATTCTAGAGTGTACTCACTTTTTGAGTACACAAAAAGTAACTTTTATCATAATGAGTTCTATATCGGTCGATGGTCCGAATGATGAAAACCGCAGCTCTCTATCTTGTTCCTATCAAAAGTTATTCGAAAAATAGTGAAGTACCTTTTATTTTGAAACGAACAGTAGAATAAGAAAGAAACTGATAATATTCTGTGAAAATAAGAAATTAAACTTTTTTTGTCCAACTTATTTAAGTCCATAGCTTCTATTGAGATTTGAATAGTTTAGATGGAATTCATTCACAATGAAATATACCACTAGTATAATTATTAATTTCAAGCTAAATTCAATGAGTATGGTTGGTCGCGGGGAAACAGTTTAAAGAAAAATAGCAATTAAGTACGCATTCATTGTTTTTTGCAGGTGTGTTTCGAAAAATGCCTTTAGATCTATTTACAAAAAAAAGTACATTCTCAGGCTCAAAATGAATAGCCCATAGACCAAGCTTCAACATGTATACCTAAAGATATGTTTTCTTCAATTATGAATTTACTGCTTGGTGATCAAAATATTTCTGAGCTTCTAGAAAAACAGTCCAAAGGTGAAGAAGTGTTTTTAATTAATACACATGATTTCCCGAATATGTTCCTATTTTACTTTAAAAATATCTCTTTGTATGACTCGTGAGAATGTTCTCTGCGTCAATTAACTGCTATAAGCATGAGAACGTTTTTTGCCATATGGAAACTTAAAGATTTTTGTTTAGATTATCCTGCAAAAGAACATTGAAGTGACTTCAAGATATTTTTTCAATAAAGAAACGCATTTTTAAATAGACTCTTCTTTCCTATTAGCTGTTTTGCAAGATTTTTTTCAACTCGGAAATGACATCTCGCTGTGACGAGGGAAGAAAAATATAGTTTCATACTGCATATAGATATTATTATGAACATACAGATTAAAAACAAATCAATAAGCAGCAGGAATGATTTTTTTTTAATTGATTCTCATAGGAGATCTTTCTAAAATATGTTCTGTTTATTTTGTCTAAGGGAAGCCTTTTAATATGTCGAAAACTTTACATTGGTTTATGCAGATTTTTTAAGCGCAATATTTTAATATGTTGAAAATACTAACAGTACTTCAGTATGTCAGATAGTTTTCTCTTTTTTTTTTAAACCAAACTTTTATAATCTAGGATTTGTGTTCAGAATATCTATTTAATTCGTATATTGTCTATTACATATAATGTAAATACTACGCATATTTTTCTTTTCATTTTCTAAATGGTTTTTTTTGTGATTCAAAGTGAAGAGATTAATCTAGAATTAACGATACTCCTTTTGTTATATAATAATTATCTATAGAACGACTAAAATAGATTCCGAAATAACTTTTTTGTATTTCTTTTATTTCTTTCAGAAGCGATATGCCATTGTTAGTCATTGAATATGTCCGAACGATTATCTAATTTTTCTTTGTCTTGATTGATGATATACTTGATTTTGAAAAACTTCCTATCAGTTTTAGTCTACAATAACAAATGTTTTATACAATTTATTAAAACAGTTACATATTAAATGAGATATAATAATAAAATAATCTTGAATGTTCTATAATCATTCTTATTATATGATAGATGATAGACCAATCTTGAAATGATTTCATTGTCAATAAAGTACATTGATCGATCAATTCATCAATTTTTCCATTATGAATACTTAATTCTTCGAGAAAATGCTTTCACATGATTTGATCATTATCTTTACTTAAAATCAAAATTATTTACCGTCATTATTATCCAATGATTATGAAAAGTTTTGAAAAATCTACTTGTCGAAAAATAATTTCCTTTTTTTACGGTACGAAGAACAACTATCATTCAACCAATGACACATAAATCTTCTATAGGATTGAAGAACAGACTAATCAATTTCGAAATCGAATAATAAAATTGAGAATAGTTCTTATAAAACTTTGATAATCTATTTTTAGATTTATTTCTGATCAATAGAAAAAATAAAAACAGTAGCTTAATATCTTTTTTATTGAATTTACAAATAAATAATTGTCATCTATCGTATATTTTATTCTCCGATTGTAAATCCCAACTGACATATTTTTTAATCAAAATTCATCTATCGTATTTTCAACAATATCTTTATTAACAACAAAAAAAAAATATTTGATCAAATAGATTAAGCTGAAATAATTGACAAAGATTCAATATATGATTTTGATTTAAAACCATTCGTGTCATTATCAATTAATAAAATTTTTGCTTATATTCAATTGCATTTAATTATCAATAGAAATCATATTTCATCATCTAAAAACTTAATGTTTTTTGTCAATCTTACTCGA